TATTATTATTATTAATCGAAACAAGATAGAAAACACGAAGGAAAGAACGACGACGACGACGACGTAAAATCGACGTCGTGAGAAACGAGAGAGATAAAAAATGATAGAAAATAAAAGTTTTAGAGAAGAACGAAAAAGATGGAAAGATGGTGATGAAGAAAGTGAGAGAGAGAGAGAGAGAGAGAGAGAGGGAGAAGGGAAAATAAGGAGGTTTTTGTGTGTGTGTGTAAGTGTGTGAATGCGAGTGTGGGAAGAATGGTGGCGGAAAAAGAAGAAGAAGAAGAATGAGAATGAGAAGGAAGAGGAATGAGGAGGGGGAGGAGGAAGAAACTGAATCCCGGTTTCCGGTAACTCTGCTGCCTAAGAGTGAGAGAGAGAGAAGAGAAACGCGTAATTTGAACAAATGACTTTGCCCGGTTTCAAAATTAGATTCTATTCTTACAACAGGGTTTCACTTGGAAAACGAGGGAAAATAAATAAAAACACGTTTTTAGTTTTTTTTTTTTTTTAGTATTAGTTTTTAAAGAGAATAATGTACTTTGTTTAATTTTCTTCCTTTTTTTTTTCCTAACTGAAATTAATAGTTATGATAATAATAATGATGATGATGATGATGATAATAAGAAAACTTTATTTCTAACAAACCCTTTTTTTATTCTTTATTTTATACCCATAATAATAATTTTCCTGTTTTTTTTTTTCAATATAAAATAATTTGTTATTATTATTATTATTATTATTTAAAATAATTAATTATTGTCTTTCATAACTACGAATAATAATAATAATAATAATAATAGCAAATCATTAATACTTTCACGTTTATTATTATTTTAAATTTAAAAAATTTTGTCGAATGTTTGTTTCTACAACATTAAAAAAAAAAATAAATAAATAAATAAAGATGAAAGTGAACAATAGGAATAATAATAATAATAATAATAATATTAATATTGTACAGTTGTGAGATTAGTATAAAAACTAAAAAAAAGGTTTAAAAAAAAGAGAATAAATGTAATCCGATTTTATAAGCTCATCTGTGATTATTTACCAGGGAACTCTATTAGTCGCATCCAAAGACTTTTTTTTTTTTTTTTTTTATAAATCATTAAATCAACTTTTTTTTTCTTTGTAATCCCACTAAATATCAAATGGAATATTCTGGAAACGAAAAAATGTTTTGGTATTATTATTATTATTATTCGTATTAATAACAAAATAATACTAAATATTTTAATCTTTTGTTGTTGTTGTTGTTGTTGTTTACTAAAAATAAATTGTTTAAAGCTTTTGACGTAAACAAAAAAAAATTTTTTTACACAATTTTTTATTTATTTATTTACAGAAATAAAGTTAATAAATAATTACGTAACGATCCGATTTTGTTTTCCGTTTTAATTTAGGTGTCATATTTAATATTAATAAGGTCTCCAAACATCTTTTAAAGTTTTACTCGGCGTTTCTCCAGTATTTGTTTTATGTTGTTTTATCGTGTTGAGAAGACGTTTTCCAGGTGATAGAGAAGGAGATTTTTTTTTCGGACTTTCCGGTCCGGAAGTATGTTTTTTAGGTGAAATATTACCGATAGGACTACTCGTTCTTTTACTAGATAATTTACCGTCTCCGGATTCTAGTATTCTTTTCGGTTCTGGAGCTGGAAGACCGTATTTCGGATTAAAAGATGAAACAAAGTCTTCGGATGAAAATGTCGAAGTTAACGGTTGACCGTGATTATATATTCGCGAATAAAGCCATTGAGAGGATGGAATTAGAGGAGAATTTAGAAATAAACTTGCTGCGGCACTGAAAAATGGCGTTTGAGTTTGAAATAATGCCGGATGAATACTTGTAAAATTCGGAGATTGTAGTTTTATTCCAGTCGATGATGGCGACGATGATGGATTCACTTCGGTAAAATTGTAATCCGAAGATCGCACGTTATCTTCTTCCGTTCGAGATCCTTTACGTCTCGCTGGAGAAATCGATCTCACGTCGCTCGATGGTAAAACTTCTTTTTTCGGACTTTCCGGTGATAAATTATTTGTTTGGACATTGTTGTTGTTATTTGAATTTCCGTTTGTCGTAACGTTAACGGAAATAGGTTCTAACGGTTCGCAAGATGTTCTCCTCAAAGAATCAGCTAAAAAGAAAATATTGCATTGCAAACAGCAACAACAAAGACGTCACACATCATTTAAAAAAAAAAAATAGAGAATATCTATAAGTTTACCGTTAGATAATTTTGATGATGCGGGTGGTGATAGTGAGGAGTCGGTAGACAACGACCCCAAAAGATGTGAAAAAGAGGGTTGATGGATATTTGGCGGACCGCAATGTGTTGGAAAATAATTTCCTGGATATCCACCAGGGACTCGAGATAACCATCCTATATCTCCATTTAAGCCCAAACCTAGTTTTTTTTTTATTAAAAATAATTACAAGTCATGTAATTATCCGTTAAGAAATGATAAAGATATAAGTGATGACGTATCACAATATGGCTGACTAATGACGTATTAAAAATTTCTTGTTTTTAAAGATAAATATATTATATACTTGGAAATGGAAAACTTTTATATAATTTTCCCCCCTTCTTGTTTATTTTATATCTCCTCCTTCATTTTAATAATCTATTTTACATTTTTAAAACATTTTATTTATCATTTTTTAGTAATCAAAAGTAAAAAAAAAAAATATGGCGGTATCGATCGTAAGAGTTTTTAGTCTTAGATAATTTTTTGAAAATTATTTCAAGTGACAAAAGTAAAACATCCACACACAATGTAAAATTGAAGGTCACGACATTTTAGAAAAGAAAAGAAATGTCGTTTTCTCGGCCTTTTGTAAAGGGTTGAATTTTTTTTTTAAAGGGGGTAAATTTTAAAAGGGATGCATGGAGAAAAAAAAAAGAAAATTTTTTTTTTCTAAAAATAAAAAGGATGGAAAAGGCAATGAAAAAATTACCTTTTCTAAAACTTATGAATTTTTTATTATATCCATTAGCTTTAAAATAAAAAAAAGAAAAGAAATAATTTTTTTTTTACATTTTCTTTGGAAAATACATTAAATAATTAATATTTTACTTTTTTTTAATAAGTTCTATGTACATGTATTTATAATAATGATTTCTTTAAAGAAAATCTATCAACTTTTTTTCTTCTATTTTTGTTAATTAACGGAGAGGGGGAAAAAGAAAAAGTTAATAAATAATGTATTACATTCTATATTACACATAAAATTTTAATTTCTTAAAAATCTCTATAATGAAATACTTATTAATTATAACTTTTTTTTTTTAAAAATGTTTAATAAAAATATTAAAAGAGAAGAAAATTTTCGTTTTTTTTTCCCTTTTTATCAAGCTCCCCGAGAAAAAAAAGAAAAGAAAGAAAGAAAGAAAAAAATCGAATTTATAATAAAAAAAAAAAAAAAGGAAAGAAAAAGAGAAAGAAAATAAAAAAAAGAAAGTAAGAGAGAGAGAGATGGAGGGAGGGAGGGAATTCTGAAGTAGAAGAAGAAGAAGAAAGGCGGGGAGGGGAGGGGAAGAAGTAGAGGAAATATTGCGGGGAAAGTGGGGGCACACGGCAGCGCCGCAGCGCCCAATAGCGTCACCGCTCCCCAACGACTTCGCGGTTGCTCCACCCTCAAAGCTTTAACCCTTTATCGCCCTCAAAACTTGTTCTTTATTCTTCTTTCCTTTAATGCCTCTCTAGCTTCAACTTCGGGTATTTTTCAGCCCCCCCGGGACAAAAAAAAAAAAACGACAAAAAAACCTTTTAGAATATAAAGAAACTCAAATGAAAATTTTAATAATAACGATAATGATAATAATCTTACGTTAATAATAATAATAATAATTATTATTATTATTATTTTTGTATTTTGCAAAAATTCGTTCCGGAAAAAATAATTTTCATCGAATAATAATAATAATGATAATAATATTTTAAAATCTTATATATTTTTACATAAATAAATATATATATTTGATGGCTTCGTTAAAAAACAACGTGACGTCATGAACGTGACGTCATTTTTTTTAAAAAATTTAATTAACACGTGATTAACAAGGTAATTATTTGTTTAAAAAAAAAAAACAAATCTTTCTCTTATACTAATTGTAATTACATTTTTAAAAAAAAGAAAGAAAAGAAAAGAAAAAGAAAAAAAAATGACATTTCATCCCCTGTTTTTTTTTCCTGGAAACCCCTATTGACCTAGTTTGTGCTTTTTTTCTTGATTTAACCCTCCCTCTCTATCGTTTTTCTTCTCCCCTTTTTGGTTTACGTGACAAGATTTTAAATAAAAAGAAAAGAAAAGAAAAAGAAAAAAGTTACACGTACAAAAAAATTATAATAATATCGGGGGAAGGGGAGAAGGGGAGGATTTTTTTCGATCAACGTATTGCATTAACTTGAATTATCAGAGTAACATCACAGGTTTTAAAAAGCAATAAAAATATTTAGGTTACGTGAAATTATTATTACCGAAAACTTATATTTGGGGGGCCGGATGTATAATTAATAATAATATATGTACAGCAGAGTACTCACGTGAGGAAAATTGTAACTAAACCACCAAAATATAAATTAATATATATGTAAAAATAGAAAACTCTGCCATCGGGTGAATATTTTCCGTACTAAAATTTACAGAAAATTAATTTTAATAATAATAATAATAATTTTTTTTGTTTGCATTTTTTATTAATTATGCTAAACAATAAAATTAAAAATTAATGTTAAAAAAAAAATCAATGAATCAATTAACGTTGGCTTAAAAAGGACTCGAGTACGAAAAAAAATACCCTCTCCAGCTAGAGAGGAAAAAGAGAAAAAAATGAAAATGAACCTTGGAAAATTATTATCCTATTTTGAAATATAGCTCTAAATATTCCCTTGGAGCCGCATTTATATCCCCAGAAAAGTTATGTTTCAAAATAATCCTCTCAAGTTCCAATGTAATCCTTTTTGATAACTTAAATACCTTTTCGATTATTTCTATTTTCCTTTTCTTATAACGAAAATTTTAATGGATGGAAGCTTAAAGGTAAAAACTTTTACTATAAAAGTAAAAAAAAAAATTATTTATGTAATTATATTATTTTTCTTTTTTCGTCCCTCCCCTACCCCACCCTTCCCCACACCAGATTTTCCACTTGATATTTTTTTTTTAAATTTTTAGTCAAGCACAAAGAGAGAGAGAGAGAAAAAGAGAAAAAAATTTTACCTGGTAATTTAAATGGTAATGAACCAACCATCGGATCGGTTATTCTTTGTGGATCCAGTGGATTTCCAAAATGAAAAGGTCTCGGACCAAAATGAAACGGATGAAATTGTTGATGTCCTAAAACAATAATAATAATAATGATTTTTTTAAAAATAAATTCTATGAGAAAAAAAAGGTTCGGATCTTTTAATGTTTAACTTACTTGTTTTCGATCTGGGTTCTCTTGGACCATCGACGGTAACTTTAATTGCTTTTGCATATGTAGCCACTTGAGGAGGAGAACTATTTATTATTATTGTAAGTGTGAAACTTTTACCTGGACGAGAGCAAAAAAAAAAAAATTATTATTATTTTTTTTGTTCCATTCGGCCACGAACAAACGATAAAATAAAAATTTACGAAAAAAAAGGAAAAATGAGGGCCGTAAAAAAAAAAAAAAAAAACTCGGTGTAAGAAATTTCCCTTGAGACAATTGAATATAAAAAAAAGAAAAAATAAAAAATTTATTTTCATGTCTTGTTTTAATTTCATATTTTGGTTAAAAAAATTTTTAAACAATATTTTATGCGTGGGTGTAAAAAAAAAAATAAAAATCGAATCGTAGGTAATAAAAAAAACAACAACAAATAAAATATTTGATTAAAATCTTGTTATGATAATTATGATAGTATTTTATAGACAATAAAAAAAAAATTAAATGTAATTAATTACGTGAAAAGTGATCATTATTATTATTAATAAAAATTTTCTCATTTTCCTCACACACACACACACTACAAACGAGAAGTCAATTACACGGATTTGTGTGTGTGCGTGAGTGCGTGTGAAACAAAATAAAGTGCGCCAAATTTTTGGGTTTCATTACTAATTACTCCATCTTTTTTTTTTTTGTTTACTTAATGTCAAAATTTCTGATGTTTGTCAATTAAAAGTTTAGGAAAAAATTTTATTCGTTAATCTGACATGGCACCTGTTGGAAAATTTTGTTTTTTTTCTTTTGAGTTTTCATCCAAAGTTTTTATGACTCGTTTTAATAAGAAAAATGTAAAAAACCTTTTTCTTGCTTTCTATATAAAAAAAACTATGTAATAATAAAAAAAGAAAGAAAAATGAAAATTTCTGCAGCAAATGCTACTGCTGCTGTTGCTGCCGCTGCTGCTACTAAATTTTTAATATTTTTTTCTTTTTTGATCATCAATAAAACAGTGGTGGTGGAAACGTTGTTGTTTTTTTTTTATTTTTTTCTTTTATTTGCCAAGCTTCCCCTTCATCGAATGAAACCCTAGCATTTATTTTTGATTTAGAATCAAGAAAAAAAAAACCCCCATCGAGAAATAAACTGCAATCAAAAGACACGTCGATGTTGGCTTCCCTTAGTCATTTACCAGCTTCCCTTAACTAAAGTCAACCTAAACTGATTAAATTCTCTTAAAACTTACACCATTTTTTTCAAAAAAAAAAATCACTTATTTTTACTGTAATTTTGTTTTCATTTATGAAAAATTACGGTGGAAAATGTAAAAGAAGATAAAAAGATGTCGTCTTACCTCTTCCGCTCCTTCCCACGAATCTTAAATCGTTAAATTTGGCCACTTGATTCTTCATGACCGCCGTACAATTTCTTAACTCCCCGCAAAAATTTTCGTCATTTCCGGCCCTGACCGTAACCAACGTACCGTCGAGTACTTCACCCAATGCTACCACTTTAAACGCTACCGGTAATGTTTTATTCGAACGCCAGTGGGGCGGAAGCATAGTGCACACCAAGTGCGGACTCCCGGTCCTGACCAATTCTCCGGGGTGCTCCGCCAGCAGACCATCCAGAGTTCTTTCGGCAAGAGCTTCCGCCGTCAGCACGTGGTAGTCCGCGGGACTCGACCCATCTACATCCGTCCCGGGGTGCATCCGCATCCGCCTTCGCTTCGGACTATATGGAACCGTTCAAAGTATCGACGGCATCACACGTTTTTTTTTTTTTAATCGACCAGTAAGTGAAAGCAATAAAACCGCCAATCTTGTTCGCACCGCGACCGTTTCGGCTCTGATGTGGGCACGGCTTCGCCACACCGCAACCGAAATAAGGGGTGCGAGAGGCTGTCGAAAACGAAAAGCCCACCGCGAGGAAGGGGGGGGGAGGGTTCGAGAGTTCTTTTTCTTTCTTTTTTTTTTTCTTTTATTTTTCGCGACATAAAAATGAAAAAAAAGCTCATGCGAAGTGAGTTGCATGCGCGTCGAGCACCTCGCACTGTCAATCTGTGTAGCCCTCGCCCCTCCGTAGCCCCGACCGAAAAGAAACTAAAAAACTTTTTCCGGAGAAAACATCTTGGAAAAATAACGGTTGAGGCAGTTTTTTGGGGTTTTTTTAAGGGATGGGGGGCGTTTCTTATGGAGGTTTGTGGGCGGGGTTATGTGGGTCGCCCAAGACGTCGGGCGTCGCGGCACCCCCGCAGTACCCACCAAGAAAAAAAGAGAAGGGATTTTTCTTAAATAAAAATTCGAAAGGCGCATGACTTTCTTAAAAAAGAAACTGAAAAGAAAAACCATTTTTTACAGTCTTTCTTCGATTCTTTAAGATTCTTTTCAAAATTTCTTTTTTTTTTCTCCATCTCCCCCTCCTCCTCCCCCACCACTCCTCATCCCTCGTCTTCCCCCTCCGCCGTTCTACCCTTTACCATCCATCCATTATTCTTTCATTTCTTTCGAAAAGAAATGTCGCCTTCTTAAGCTTTCTCGAAAAAAAGAAAAAAAAACAAGTAAAAGAAGAAAAAAGAAGAAAAAAGAAAAAAATTTTTTTTTTCAAAGTTTTCATTTAATTATTATTATTATTATTATCTATCGTTTCAAATCACGACTGACTGGTTGGGTAAAAGTTATGAAACAATAATAAAATGTGTGCGTGAAAAGCACAAAAATTGATAAAGTATAATTAATTAATTAATTAATTTGATTTATGAATTTAATAAAAATATGAACCGGAAGTAAACAAATCCGTAATAACACCGGATGTCATCACATTTATCATCCGAAAGATAACAAAAAAACAAATCCTAGAAGGTAATTTATTTATTAATTAATTAATTAAAATCAAACGTATAAAAAAAATGTATTATTGGCTCGTTCATTTTTCAATTTCCCACCGATTACGTCATCGTGATACAAAAAAAGATTTAAAATGAATCCAGTTGGTAAACATAAGGAAAACAATAATAATGATAATGATAATAATAATAACAATAACAATAATAATAATAATCGAATTAAATATATATGTGTGTTAACGACGTAGTCCGAACGGTATCGATTGGTTCTCCAGTAAACAGAGACTGGAGTACATTAATTTTCTTTTTTTTGTCTTCTTTTATTCTATGTAATAATTCATCTGGAATATTCTAGAATGTTCCATTAATTATATATTCTATTCCTACTAAAATAAAACAAAAAAAAATTTTTATTCTTATACACGTTAAATCCGTATGGATTGAATAAAATTCATGGGAGGCTTAAAAAAATTAATGGGAGGGGGACAAAAAAAATTATTTATTATTATTATTATTATTATTATTATTATTATTATTATTGCATAAATGAAGGTTAAATTAATTAATTAATTAGTTATGTTAATAATTTTCTAATTAAATTAAATTTTTTATTTTTACTATTTATTTATATATATATATATAATTAATTATTCGACAATATTTTCCCGATACAAAAAAACTTTCAAATTTTTTTTTTACGTATATATATATTTATATATATGTGTATTATTTAACAATGTAATTTTAATATAAACATTCAATCATTTTATTTATTTATTTATATCAAAGGCTGCCAACAAAACAAAACAAAAACAAAAACAAATTTTTCCTGCACCTTGAAATAATTATAATAGTACTTAAAAAAAAAATTTTAAGTTTTATTTTTTATTTTTTTTAAATACTGTCGTTCACTTTCTCCCCCCCTCTCTCTCTCTCGTAGCCATTAGTTATTATTATTAATATTTATTAATTGTTACGCTGTAAAAAAAACAATAAGTTTTCGATTCAAATTAAATAGTAATATTAATACTAACACATATAACATTTTGTAAATTTTTATAATTAATAATAACAAAAAAAATTATCGATAATAATAATAATAATGATAATAATAATGATAATCATAATGATAATAATTGTTAAATATCAGCAGGTACTCGTTAAATTTGTTTATGTGCTTAGTAATTAACACGTGTGTGTGTGTGAGTGTGAAATTAACGACAGTATTTAAATATCGAATATACCGTTTTAAAAAAAATTTTTATTATTATTATTGGCACATAAATTATAATAATAATAATAATTAATAAACATTTATGTAAAATTAAAAAAAAAATGATTTTTTATTTATCACTAGATTTATGCATTTATTAATTAATTGGCTTTTTTTTTTTTAAATATTCAAATCATACAAGCATACAAATAATATATACTTTGACCTAATAATAATAATAATAATAATAATAATAATAATAAATCCACTATTGACTTTTTCTATTTTAATTATTTTATATTATCATTATTATTATTACTTTACGGTTACGTCACATTAATTAAACGTATGTAGAAATTCTCTTATTAAAAATTTAATTATCTAATTAAAAAAAAAAAAATTAAAAAATCTACTCCTCGAATCGCAAACCACAAATTTATTTATTTAATTATTTATTTATTTAAACAATGAAAACAAAATGAAATTAATAACTTATTTAAATTATCGATCGAAAAAAAAATGGGGGGGTGGGGTCGGGGGGGAAAATATTATTCTTAATTGCACTTTTGTTTAGAATTCTATTTTATTTTATACATTTAAAAATTAAATAATAATAATAATAATAATACTATTTCAAATATAAAATTTTTATTTCCAACAAATAAAAAAGCCATCGTGTTTTCCATTTCCTTTTTAATTATATAATAATAATAATAATAATAATAATATAAAATAGAAAATTATTTATATGCGAGAAGAGGAGCAGATATAAAAACCCTAATTTTTTTTTGTTACACTTTTACAATTAAACGACGACGACAACGAAATTATAATAATTTTATTTATGTAAATAAATTAAAAAAACTATAAAATTTTCTCTAAAAAATTCATTTACACGTAATTTAAAAAAAAATTTATATATATATTAATATATAGTATAAATGATTGATTGCTCAATTTAATGTCGTAACGTTTATCATAAAAAAAAAAAACACAAAAAATTTTTATGAGCTTTTTTTCTTTTTTTTTGTTTAACATCATCCTGATATTTATATTAATATTTAAAGTCAATATTGTCTTTTATTTATTTATTTATTATTATTATTATTATTATTATTAATAACAACAGCAAATATCTACAGTAGATTTTTTTTTTTCGTTTGAATTTATCAACTTTTATAACCTCTTTTTATTGAGTATAAATTTTATATTCGAATTAATTAGTACGCTTGAGTCTTTTGTTTTTTTAATTAGTAACAACGGTTATTTAAAAACCAACAATATTATTATTATTATTATTGATAAGATCGGCCATCTTGTATAAGTTGCCATTATCACACTAAATTTTTCTCTTTTTATTATCTTGTATATATAATTTTTTTTTTACGTTTTTTTTTTTTTTTTACAAATAACAATAATAATTTTAGGCGATGCCTTCATTGGAAATCGACGACGACGACGACGAAAACGACTACTGCTCCTTATTAATGAATTTCATTCACATTTTATTTCTAATTTAAAATACTAAATTTTGTCATTAACAAAAAAAAAAAAAAAATTCCATCGATATCCTCACGATATTATTGAAAATGGCAGTATTACCTGAAAATATGTGAGAATTTTATGAAAATGATATACTTTTAAATAGGGATCGAAATGTAGTGATTCAAAACTTACGCAATGTAAACTTATGCGAAATCATAAATAAATAAAAATTATTTATGCCGTCAAGTCTGATTTTGCCCAGGTGGAGATTCCCGAGACCATCATGATAGCCAAATAATGCAAAAAAGTAAGAGCAAAAATGGTAGCGGCATAGATTGGGAGGCCAAACCCTCGCCGGTGTTAAATTCAATCAATCATTATCTCGATTATAAAAACGATTTTTTTTTTTAAATGTAAAAAAAAAAAAGAAAATTACAATTAAGCTCATCTGAAGTATCTTTTGCTCCGCAATTAGCCACCCTGTTGCACCGAAGTTTTTGTGCAATGCATAATTTACTTTCTGAGCATAAAAATTCTGAACATTCTTCGTCTTTTGAAAATTCTGTCCATATGGCTCGAAAACCTTGAGCTCCAGCTGATTTATCAGCTGATATAAAACTTAAACAACAAACGAATTTTTATTTATTACGCGTAATTAATATTAAGATCACGAAAAAAAAAAAATTACTTACCTAATTCTCATAGTATTGCTGTCGGAAATATATTCCCATTTTTCTTCTGCCGTTTTTTCACCACATAATTCCAAAGGCATGCCGTCGTTGGAAGTCCACAATCGTACAACAGCAGCCGGACATCCTCTTGCTTAATAAAATAATATTTTGAAAAATTATTTATTTTATTTTACGTGTTAATAATAATGAGTGATGTACTTACCAGAAGGCTCCCCTTCGACAGCAAAAATTTCAAAATATAAAAGTATTTTATGTTTTGGTTTGACTTTAATAAACCAATTACATGTTTTACTCGCTAAACCTCTTCCAGGACCTTCGTAATTTAATGGAAAATTAGGACTTGAAATAACACCGTATTCCGTATTACTCACGTTAGACCCACAATCTATAATATACATATATATTATATATAAATATATAAATAAATAAAATAATTGTTGTTTTTTTTTTTGTTTCTTACCCCCGAAAATAGATTTTGCAGTCTCGAAAATATACCTCGCTTTGAAACCACTGTAAACCCCCTCATGATCTGTGTGTAAAATAATTTTGAGACCTGTTGCCCCCCGATTTGATTCTATTGGCCCTGGAGCTGTCATACCGCAATACCTCCCAACAAGTTTTTCATTAAATCTATAAACTTGATATATTTCAAGCCAATCTTCCAAACAGTTGTCGATTCTAAAATAAATAATAATAATTGTAAATCAATTATTTATGATCGAACGAATAATTTTTATAATAATGTTTAATAAATACCCGTAAGAACCGGAAGTTGAATTGGCTCCATCAGCTCTCACTTTAAAATGATCAAAGACGATTGTCACTTGCTCATTAGGTGTCGCCATGAAGAGATATGTGCAATTTGTTTCACTTGGATAATTGGATGGATATCTCGGCGAATTAAATTCCCCTTTTTTTCTACTTATGCTACTATAAGTAAATGTGCAACTTCCGTCCGGTGCTGCAGTCCCAGGAATTTTGTATTCTAAAAAAAAAAAAAAAATTGAAATTTCCTTTAGTAATAAAAGTGGAATTTCGCGGAATAACATAATAATAAGTTATTAACCAGTTTCAAAGGAATATTTTGCTTTAAAACCACCACCCTGCAATTCTCCACTACTGAAAACCATAACTAAACGAGGGCCTTCAGAAGTCATAACGCTGGGATTACTTTCACCCCCGCATAATTCGTGATCGTATTTGTCGTAGGAATCCGTTGCTTCTTGTCCTTTTAAATAAAGTTTTAGGTAACCATCGCTGCAACTGAATAAATACACGAGGCATGTCATCATCAATTCCATCAAATAAAAAATATATTGAGGGTATGTAATTTTCAAGAACTTACTCTCCTTTGCTTCCTTTGGGAATTTCAAATTTAAAAAATTCCAATTTGACTCTTTCCAAATGTTGAGAGTCTTGCATACCGTAAATAAAATATCGGCAGACTATTTTTGGAATATAAGGAAATGGATAATTTGGACTGTAAACATGACCGCTGGATTCTTTTTTGCTTAAAATTTTTTGATCGCATTCAGAACCCCGAATATGTTCTCCGCCATCTTTAATAAAATCTATAAAATCACGATAAAAAATAAATTCAAAGTTTATTTTCTCTTTCTTTTTTATAATAATAATAATAAATAATTACCTAGTTTAACAAAACTTTCGCTAAATTCGAAAATC